TGTAACTTCAAACAAATACCATACATAAGTATAAAGCATCATATAGCTAAGACCAGTAGAGTTATGCTATATTTGGTCCAAGTAAGGTGAGGTAAATCACACCTGGGGGAGATAAGCCAATCTATCCTGGAGGAGGCTACATTTGAGCTAGGTTTTGAATAATTGGCAGGATTTCAACAGTTAGAGGTTGAAGGCAGGACATTATTGGAAAAGAAAATGCCCAGAATAAAGGCATGGATCACAGGATAACAGGAACATAGATCTGTAGCTGAAGGGGACCTTAGAAATCATTTAGTCTTCCACTTTCATTTTACAGATAATGAAACTGAGACTCATTTTACATAGGTATTAAGTAGCAGAACTAGGATTTGGATCCAGGCAAGTTCTCTGTAAAAAAAACACTGGCCATTTGACTACTGTAGTTTGGTTAGAGTAGAAGGTATCTTAAAGGGAATGATGAGAGTTAAAGCCAACAACATAGGTTATTATCAGTGTCTTAATCTTCTCATAGTAGCAGAAGGTCCATAAGTTCCACCTTTCATCCTGGTGTCTTATTAGCATAGTAATATCTACATGCTGTCGGGCTCTGGCTTTGGCTGGTGACAGTCTTTATGGAAGAGGCAGGAGCTGTGCATATAACAACTTTGTTCATCAATAATAGCCATCTTTTAGCATTTCACTGTAGCATAGACCAGTTAACTAGCATACTTTTAACATAGTTAATATAGTTTGCTATTTCAAGGGTAATTGTCATAGTGGTGTGCTTAAAAAACAGTTTCTTGGTGCTTTTGGAGAAAAAGCTTCAGATAATTCAAAATTATAGGTAGTCATTAAAATATTTGTTTGGTTTCAGATGACAGTGAGTCAGTCTGTCTTTCTTACTTCTCTTATTCATCTGACTTCCTACTGGCTGATCAGGAACTTTTTGTGATACATTTATATGCTCATATATAGTGAAGAATTAATTGTATAGGGCTTATATTTAAGTGTGAAGGTGTCATTTAATATTAGCATTAGAATCTTTTTTTAAATTTTTAAAACATTTTTAATTTAAGTTTTGACTTCCAAATTCTGTCACTCCTTCTCCTCCCTGAGAAGGTAAGCAATCACATATAGATTATACACGTAATTATGTAAAATATTTCCATATTAGTCATTTTGTACAAGAAGACACGAATAAAAGAAAAAAAATAAAAGAAAGTGAAAAATAGCATGCTTCAGTCTGTATTCTATCAATATTAGTTCTTTCTCTGATGGCAGATAGTATCCTTTGTCATTAATCCTTTGGTATTGCCTTGTAACATTGTATTGCTGAGAATAGCTAAGGCATTCACAGTTCTTCATTGAACAGTGTTGCTGTTACTGTGTGCAATGTTCTCTTGGTTCTGTTCTTTTCACTGTGCATCAGTTCATGTAAGTCTTTCCAGGTTTTTCTGAAATCCTGTTTGTCATTTCCCGTAGCACCATAATATTCCATTACAATCATACACCACCCCTTGTTTAGCCGTTCCCCAATTGATTGGCATTCCTTTGATTTCCAATTCTTAATCACCACAAAAAAAGGTGCTATGCATATTTTTTGTACATATAGATCCTTCTCTCTCCCTCTGCCTCTCTCTCTCCCTCTCCTTTCTTCTTCTTCATAGAACTTTAGTATTGTAAAACTATTCTAAAAGCATTGCATCCTACATATGCAAAAGGCACAACATACTAAGGTTCTCAAAGGGAATAAAATCACTTTCACCCAAATAGACGGACGTACAACACTATCTCTCTCTCTCTCTCTCTCCCTCTCCCTCTCCTGTGACACTGTTGGCTTTGTAGTTGCCCTTGTCTACCAGCTTGAGCTAGGACCTCATCTTCCATTACTACATGTGTGTAGGGAGCATGGTTACTGTAATGTCTCTGGGCTGAAATGAAAGATTGAGGCCACCCAGTGGTGCTTTTTCCTGTGCAGTCATTCAAGTAGTGCATGGCCCTTAATCCAAGTGATTAATTTCTTAAAAAGAAGCACAGTTTAAAAGCATATGAAGTGGGAAGAATGAGCTTTGTGTAAAGCAATGATTTCCAAAGTGTTATAGATGTTAATACAGAGAATTCAACTATTCTACCTTTTGCATATGGGAGGAAGCTACAAGCTATTTGTGCTCCTGGGTATATGAGAGAGAAAGGTTCTCTTTGTTCCTGTGAAAACTAGGTTTGGAGGTTATTGTTTGTCCTTCATTTTTGAAGAGGACTAGTGACTTCACAGGTGATGACTTGAGTGTGAATTGGATTTAAATAAAGCAGAGTTGCACAGAGTTGTCAGCCTCTTTCTCTCTTCCTTTCTCATCAAAGTTAAAATGTCAGAAGTTAAAATGACTGGTGGTAAGGGGCAGCTAGGTGACACAGTAGATAAAGCCGGCCCTGAAGTCAGGAGGACCTGAGTTCAAATGTGGCCTCAGATCAAACACTTGACACTTACTAGCTGTGTGACCCTGGGCGAGTCGCTTAACCCTAATTGCCTAAAAAGAAAAAAAAACTTCAAAAAAATAAATAAAATAACTGGTGGTAGCCTAGAATACATTGGATGACCTTGTCATCTTCAGTGCCTGACCAGGTTCTAAAAGGTCCACAGCACTTGCTTCAGCAGTCTTCATGGCTGTTAGGGCAAATTGTTCTCATCTGTTTATTCCCCCAGGAAAAGTCTTCACGTGCTTTGGGTAGACATCCCCCTAACTAACTGACAGGTTTGAGGCCTTTTGGTTATCTTCAACCTGGTTTAGCCTGTCTGCTGAGATGGTTTACTGGGCTTGTGGCTGCTGTACATGCTGAAACTTCTTGTAGTCACAGGTGAGAGCTGGGTGAAGGTAGACACCAAAGGTGAACGGGCAGCCCTGAAAAGGGCCTGGCAAGCTCTCCCACCAGAGGTGCTAGTCCTATAACTTTGAAAGGGAGTTTTCTGGCAGCTACTTGTTGTTCTAGGTTATTATAATATGACTCCTTTGCAATCCTTATTGGGTTTTTTCAGCTCAAGCCTGTTAGTTTGTGTTTTGAGAAATTAGGTGCTGGGAAACCAGGAGGGAAAAAAAGATTCATGGACATTTAGTTTAAAACGTTTTGGAATCAATGGAGTACATCTTTGAAATGAAATTTACATGTCATTAATAGAATCAATGAATTTTATAGTGGAGGGAACTATAGAAGTCAGCTAGTTTATCTAGTCCCCTTATTTTACCCTCTTTTGTATTGATTTCTGTGATAGTCATGTCTCTTAGTTCTCCTGCCATCATGGTTCATCTTCCTTCTCCCAAGCACATAGGAAGGAGTGTACCTAAGGACTCGGTTCTGTGGCCTCTTTACTTTCCTTTCTGCATTCTCTTCCTTGATGATTCTACTTGTTTCCGTGGATTCAGTTTTGCTGATAGTTCCTGAATCTCTTTGTGTAGTCCTGATCTCTTTCCTGCTTGTCAGCCCCATATCTCCAAAAGCCTCTTGGCTGTCTCCAGCTAACTCTTTAATCAGTACCTGAAGTTTGAATTTGTAATCTTTTCTAAATCTGTGCCTGCCCCAGATTTCCCTGTTTCTGCTGATGGTACCACTATCCTCCCTGTCACTGAGATTCATAACCTTAGTGTCCTTATTCTTGATTTTTCTGTTACTTCCCCTTCCTGCCGCCACCCCCCTTCCCCACAACCCCTGGTTAATACTTTCTTCTTAAATTACCTTATCAAAGTTAATGTAGGTCATAGTTCTAGAGCTGGAAGCAACCTCAGAATCCATCTGTTCCAACCCTTTCATTTTACAGATGAGGAAACTGAGTCTCAGGAAAGCCAAGTGATTTGTCCAAGATCACTCAGGTAGTAAGTGGCAGAGGTGGGAAATGAAGCCGGGCTCTGGCTTTTAAAACCAGACTGTTGCCTTGCTGTGGTGCTTTTTACACATTTCTTACTTCCCCACCCCCACCCCAAGAATGTAAGCTACTTAAAGCCAGGTTCTTGTTTTTATTCTTTGTATATCTCTAGTCCCCTTACACACAATAGAGTCTTATTAATAAATATTTTTCAAATTTAATGAAAGAAAATTCATACCAGAGAGATTCAGTGACTTTCTTGCCCAGAGCTACAAATAATCAAGTAATAGAGATGGATTTAGACACAGGCAGTCTTATTTCCAAATTCAGTGCTCTTTTCCTATTTCATATTTAATAAGTAACTATTGAGCACTTGCTCTGTAGGAGGTACTGGAATATGTTGGGGCATAGAAATGAAGTCCAGGTGTGGGCCTTGCCTCTGAAGTGCTTCCAGTAGAGTTGGAGAGAAAAAAAGTGAAGCAGCTAGTGGCCATTATAAGACAGGACATGGAAAAGGGTTAAATTATGAAAGTGCTAAATTAGGTGATGAAAAGTGGTTGTCAAACATATGAGTGCATTGGGTGTTCATTGAATGGGAGTGCTTTGTTTTTAAATCTCAACTGTAGCCCATATTTCAGTTCATTAGATGTTTTTACTTTGTTAAGATGCTTTTTATTATGGTTTTTTTTGAAGTATGATTCCCCCCCACCCCTACCCCTTCTTTTACATTCAGTTGTTGAGCTTCCAAAATGTAATCCTTTGAGCAACTGAGATTTTTATTAAAAAAAAAACAACAACAAAAATCTAGGGTGAAAATAAATATTGGGAGAATAATTTTTTTTTCCAGTTCAAGTTTTTTAGCAGGTTACACAGGTTGTTTCTGTTAGAATTAGGCAATATTATTAAGACAGAGAAAATCCTTTGTAATGTAATATTAGCAAATTTTGAACACCTTAATCAGACTTGGTCAATATTATCTATCCTCAGAACAGTTATTCAAGGAAGTATTTCTTTTTAGAATGGTGTAGTTCACACATTTTAGTTTATGCTAGTTTGTGGCTGCATGTTTAGTATTTTCACCAGTGTTTATTGATGCTTCATTTCTATTTTGATATAACTGATTATAAATGATCCTACATTTTATTTTTTATCTTTTAATTTCAAACAGGCTAAATGTAATTTTTACAAAATTTGATGACGTCCAAAGATCTGGTAACATGATACAGTCTGCAAGTGGTGAGTAGAAAAGATAGTGTGATGACCATTAAGTCATCATTTGTATGGTGACATTATATTTACTATATCTGTAATAGGTCATACTTTAGCTGATTAAGGCAATCCAGAACTTAAGTCCTTGGAGTTATCATTTGTGAAAAGCAATCACATGCCAACTGTCAACCTTCTTTTTTGTAAAGTGACTATTTGAGCAGATAATGTTGTTTGTTACTGGTAAACAGTGAGCAGAGCATATCATTGTGATAGCATTTCTATGAGTAATTTCATGTCGTTTTCATTAATTAAAAATTAAATTAGTTGCAGACTTAAACTGTTTGTGATACTGCATATGCTATCTTACCAGGAGAAAGGAGTTGTTGAAAATGTAATAGAACGAGCCTGTCCTTGGGAGGATACTGGTAGCAAGAAGCCTTTTAAATCGTGAGGAATGCGGGAATCTGGACTTGAGTCATTGTAGACAATTATTAGAACCAAACTCCTGAGTAAATAACCCCCAAAGTGGCTGAGTGAATCAGTCATTAAGCATTTATTAAGTGCTTACTTTCTTCCAGGCACTGTGCTAAGTACTGAGGATACAAAGAAAGTCAGAGGACAGCCCTTCTTATCAAGGAGCCCACAGTCTAAGGGGGAAGACAACCTTCAAACAGCCATGTACAAACAAGCTATAAACGGAAAAAATTGAAAATCATCACAAAGTGAAGGCACTAACATTAAGTGGGTTAGAGAAAGGTTCTTGTAAATGAATAGCATGTTCAAGTTAGAGCAGAATGATAGTGCCTCACACTTAATTGACAAGAAGTAGGTTTTAACAAAAGCCTTCTTAGCCTTACTTTGCAGATGGAGAAACTGAAAAACTGACGTTTACATAGGTTACATGACTTGCTTGAACTCAGACACAGCTAGGAAGTGATGGAGTTGATTTTTGCACCCTGATTTCCTGGGGCTGGGCCCAGTTCTTTCACTGTTCTACCAGAATACTGGTTATAAAATCTTATGGACCATCGAGGGCCTCTAGAAACTGAAGCAAACAGAGTTGAAATGACTTGCCCAGGGCGACATGACTAGTAAGTTTCTGAGGTCATATTCAAACTCAGGTCTTCCTGACTCCAAGCCCAGCACTCTGTCCACTGCCACACTTGGCTACCAGACTGATATAGTGGGAAATAGTTGGTGACCCCAGCAATCTGATGGTCCAGTGTATTGTTGGACTTTCTGGTGCAAATTGCTTTCACATAGGTTGAATGTAAAATTACTACCTTCTTTGTGAAGATAATGAGAAGCCTACAAATTCTAACAAAAAATTAGTTACAGAAATGGAGATAGACTGTTTGACAAGTTAGGTTGACTTAGGATATGACTAATTTAACATGGAGGGTTGAAGTCAAGTGTGTTAGATTTTGTCTTAGAACACTCAAGGAATTCAATTCCATTCAATAAATGCTTATTGAATGCCCATTTTGTGTTATTAACAGCTATTGGCAATGATATTTGCAGATTGGTAAGGAAACTTATGATTTCAGAAGAATAGAAGTCAGAATTGAATTACATGGTCACTGTGCACTCTGTGACCTTGGTCCAGCTGACAAGGGCTCTTTCCATTTCCTGTTTTCCAGCACTTTGACCATAATACCAAAAAATAACTACTGCTTTCATTTGCTTTTTTTTTTTTTAATATATAGCACTATGCTATGTATTATTTACCCTGTGGATACCTTTATTGCATATGTTTGACAAGGTGAAGACATTCAGGCACTGATAGCCTGTCATAAAGTGGGTGATTGTTAAGAGCTTGACCTGGCATCCAGACCCCTTGATTCCTATTCTTTGCCATAAAGTTTATTTATTTTCATGTCTTTGCTTGTGCATATACTCATTGTTGGTGTATCATTGTTGCCACTATCTTTCACACCTCTGTATAGAATTTCCTTGTTTGGTGCTTCTTGGAACCTGTCGTTACTTGGGAAGGAGATACTTAGCGGGATAGTAAAAATTTTCAGAAAAAAAGTTTTGACTTTTAAAATTTGAATTGTTGTTACACAATGGATGTTCATTTTAATGCTGGTCTTAGGGGAGAAGGACAAGGCACATAATATCAACTTCATATTTCTTGGACTTGATCTACACCCTCCACCAGCACCCCCTCAGCATGTTATTTGTGGAGAACATAATTCAAACTGACGGATAGCCATATCTTTGGTATAGCATATGCCATATAAGAGCACTTTATTCTACATTCCTGACTTATAAGAGAGATAATAATAGTAACTGGAAGAAGAGGAAAAGGAAGAGGAAGGGGAGGAGAAGAATTTATCTCATACTTTGAGTTTTGTGAAACACATTTTATATTTTCTTATTTGCTTCTCAGCAGCCAGGATCAATCAAGCAGGATTTAAATCCAGAGCTTCCTAGCTCCTTATCTAGTACTCTGCCCATTACACCATGCTGCCTTACAAGTGACCAAGCAGGCCCTGCATTGGATTTGGAAGTAGTTAGGGAAGTAAACGGGGGAGAGATCACGAAAAGAGAACAGTGTCTCTTTACCAGTGTCGTTTATTTTTATAAATGCTAAAGGTTATTGGGGGAATAGGTGGAAGGTGGGAGAGCTACTGATATTTCCTTGAAGACCTAGAATTTGATCTTATGGCAGTGCTTCAAATATGTGTCCATATATCATTCTATCTCTTTTGGTTTTAAGATATTGAACTAATATTTAAAAAGGGTGAGTGAAGAAAGAACTGGAGATTAGGTTTCCAGCACCCAAAACATATACTTTAAAGATTTCAGAACTATTAACTTTAAAATCAGTTTGAAACCACTTAGGGATTATAATCTTTAGTATTATTAGGTAATGCCTGTTTGACAAAACATAAACAATGCCAAACATATCCCATTTCCTTTTTTGATAAAATAATTGACCTTGAGTATAAGGTGGAGGGGGGAGACTCACTTGTACCAGTCATTCAAGAGCTATCATAATACCCATTTGATAGTGTTGTCCTCTACTTGGGAATGTGTTAGAAGATTTACACATCTGCCCTCAGTACTCAACACTTCAGGTAGTAGATGATGGGAATTTTGGGGGAGTGGTGCAAAAGAGTAACTGACAGTGAAATAAAGAAAATCGAGAGACAGAAAGAGAAGATATTTAGGTGGGGGAAAGATGGAGCTGGGCAAGTATTCATAGTAGTGAAATACATATAAGATTGTTTTGGGGATATAAGGACCAGGATGATTTTGCCACCTTGTCATAATTTTTATCTTTCCACATCACTCACTGGGCTTAAATGAATTTTGAAGTTAACGAAAATCAGAATGAGAACTCAAATTTATATAGTTCTTGAAAGTCTGCTAAGTACGTCATATGCAACCATCTGCAAAGTATGTAGTGTAATTTTATCATTATTTTACAGATGAGGAAATGGGCTGAGGGAAGCTTAAGTGAATGTCTATGATCACTATCAGTCTAACAAGCATTTATTAACCACTTACTTTGTGCCTTGGCAGTCTGCTACACCGGGAATGCAAACACAAAATCAACAAGGAGTTTATATCCTGTTGGAGGAGAAATGATTATTAAGTGGTGGAACCATTCAGGACTTCAGCCTAGATCTTCTTGGTGCTTTTTCCATTTCATGTTCACCACTCCATGGTGAACGTAGCAAGTGATCTTTCATCCTCACTTATCCCTCTCTTACGCAGGATTACGCTTTGCAGTGGAAGTGCTCTCTGGGATGAAAGTACAGCTTGCTAGCAGGGTTTGCGGTAGATCTGTGTTTATAATAGCTGTGTTTGTTGCTTTCCCATTTAAGTAACTGGATTATGGAAATTGGAAACCAGGAATTAGAAGTGAGGAGAACTTGGCAGTGAAAGAGAATGGAAGCAACTGTAGAGTAGAAGGTGATTGTTTTCTTTTTCTTTTTCCAAGAAGATGAGAAAGGTGAGAGAATAGAGTAGAGACTAGGGGAGGGTGTTTTGTTTTTTTTTTGAAAATACAGAAAATGGCAACCTGGATTTGAAGTCAAGGATCTCGGTGGAATTTTGGCTGTGATATTTTATGATCTGTGTGATATGGGGCAAATTGCTTAGCCTCTGGGCTTTAGTGAGAGGTGAAATAGTGATGCATGATTATGTTGAGTACTGTTTGTGATTCCTTTCTTGTGTTCTGTTATCATAGTTGTATTCTGTAAGCTCCCTTATAGCTCTAAACTTTTTTTTTCTTATCCTAAGTTAATTTCTCTTTTAGGAGGATGAGCTCTGTGCACTCTTCCTAATTGAAGACTTTATAAATAGGCTAGTCCAGGAGACCAGGACTTGAAAATTATAGATGCCATGTTGTTAGTAATTACTGGATATCCAGCTCTAGCTTCTTGCCTAGAAAACTTCCTGAGGCTACTTACGTCCCTTTAAAAAAAATGCAATGACCTCAGAGATTGCTTTCTACATAAATAGTGCAGCAAAACCTGGCCTTTTCAGAGATTGTATACCACCTGCTTATAAACCACCTGTGCAACTTCATATTCTTTATCTCTTCTTGTTTCTTCTCTTTGCTGTTAGTTCATGCAGATCTCCTGTGTTAGTGTGTGGGACAGTGTTAAGGCTGGGATGCCAGCTTGCATGGGTAACATGGGAAACATTTTTAGACTGTCCTTCTGTTCCTTTCTCCTGGGAGCCCAAGTTTTTTTCTCCCATCCATTCAACAAGTGTTTATTTACGATAGGCCAGGTTCAAAATCTCCAGATCATTTTTGACTCTTCCCTCTCCCCTGTCCTCCGTATCTTGACAAGTTGCCAAGGAGTGTTGAAGAAGATACCTTGGCAGCATGGGAGGAGCCCAGGATTTGAAGCCAGAGGATCTGGGTACATTCTGCTTTGATATTTTCTGATCTGTATGACTTTGGGCAAGCAGCTTAACCTCTCTGGGCCTTAGCTTCCTTATCTTTAAAATAAAGGGAGTTGGATGAGATGACCTCTGAAGTCTAGTCTGTCTCTAACTCTGTGAAT